ACTGAGGAGTTCATGTCTAGCTGTGGCATCTACTATTAGATCTATCTGTGGTAAAGGAAAGCTATCCTTGGGGCATGTTCGGTTGAGATCAGTGAAGTCAATGCACATTCGCCATTTGTCGTTGGTTTTCTTAACAAGAACCACATTAGCCAGCCAGATAGGGTAGTTAACTTCCCTAATGGCTTTGGCATGGAGGAGTTTACTAACCTCCTAATTGATTACCTTCTGGCGTCTGGGCAAAACTCCTTCATTTTTGCTTGACCACCCGGCAGGTGGGATTCAAGGGGTCGATTCCTTCCTTGTCTTCTTGCTTCTAGGCGAATATTCCCCTATTCTCCTTTAGGAATTGGATGAGGAGGTCTTTTATTTCTTGGCTTAGCTTAGACCTGACGTAAACAAGATGCTCAGGCTCCTCATGGAGTTGGACGGGCTCTGGCTCCTCTGATGGTGTTGGTCTAGTATCCAGTTCGTCCCTCATATCTAGCTCATCCAGTTGGACATTCTCAACTTCCTTCTGTTTCATCGAGGTCATGTAACACTCCCTCACTACTCACTAGTCTCCTTGAACCACTCCAACTCTATTTTTTGTAGAAAATTTCATAACCAAGTGATAGGCAGAGGGAATTGCCTTCATTGCATTGAGAGAGGGCCTCCCGAGAAGCATATTATATGCAGACGAGGCATCCATAACTAGGAATCTTACTGTGGTGATGGTCTAGCAGGGAGGATCTCCCATGGTGAGGACGAGTTAAATTGAGCCCAGGGGCAAAACCCTTTCTCCTGCAAACCCAATAGGTGAGCACTAACCGGATCCAACTTTTCCCGACCTATATCCATTTTTTCAAACGCAGAAGCGAATATGATATCTGCTGAGCTCCCGTTGTCAATTAAAACTCAATAAACAGTTCTATTAGCCACAACAGCTCTGACCACTAGTGAATCATCATGGGGGTGCTGATAACCTTCTAAATCTGAGTCCGAAAAGGTGATAGCCATGTTTAGCTGAGGCGCCTTGGACATTGTGTGTATTTTCAACGCTTCGCCAGCTTTGATTCTATGCAGGTGCGCCTTTTGGGCAGAACTGGACGCCCCACCCCCCTGCGAACCCACCAGAAATTACTCTGATTTTGCCTAGGGGTTGTTGGTGTAACGCAGGAGCTTGTTGCTGAGGTGGTAGAGGTAGGGGGCTCAGTCCTGATTATCCCGAGCTACATAACGGCGTAACTGACCCTTCTGGATTAGGAATTCAATCTCTTTCTTCAATTGGATGCAATCATCAGTATGGTGGCCATGATCTCTATGGTATTCGCAATACTTTGTGGGATCCCTCTTTGTTGGGTTTGTTTTCATTCGAGGTGGCCATCTTAGAAACTTCTTGCTCTGCACCTCATATAAGATATGAGATATCATTGCGGTGAGTAGGGGGAGCTATCGAGGTGCGTACCTTAGCTATAGCTCTAGTCGTGGTGCACCTAAGCGATCTCTGACATCTCCCCTCCTTTTAGGGGAGCGATCTCTGACATCTCCCCTTCTTTTAGGGGAGCGATCTCTGTCCCTTCTTGGAGACCTATCATGCCCTCTTTCTCTTCTAGGACTTCGGTCCCTTTTTCTTTCCTCTTTCCCTTTGTCTTTTTTGCGTAGATGAACTTCCCACTTTTGAGAGAAGGGTCTTTTCACCGTTTATGTATTTTTCTGCCTTAGCCAACACCTCAGTCATACTTGCCTGAGGGTTCTTTGAAATAGAGAACATCAGATCTTTGGACTGTACGCCTAGACCAGCTATAAAGGCTGTAATGGCGAACTTCTCATCTAGGACATCCACTTTCAGTGATTCCGAGTTGAACCGCTGGACATAAGACCTAAGGTTCTCTTGGGGTCCCAGTTTCACGTTCAATAAGTGGTAGCTCGGCTTTCGGTATATCCGAGCCCCTATGAAGTGAGACACAAAGGATATAGACAGCTCTTTAAAGGAGGAGATTGAGGCCGGGGGAGCCTATTGAACCATGCCAAGGCTAACCCTTTTAACGTGATAGCAAAGGCTCTACAGCGCACTAGATCTTAATATCCATGGAGCTCCATCTGGTTTTTATAAGTATTTAGGTGGTCCACGGGGTCCTTTTTCCCATCAAAAGCTTCTATCTGCGGCACTTTGAAGTTTGGGAGGAGGGGAAAATGCAACACCTCTGTAGAGAATGACGACTCAGTTTGTTGTACCAGGGCATCCATTGTAACTGGAACCTTGTTCTTCATGGCTTCCTTCATATGGCTGAGCTCTTGCTGGATACCATTGAAGCGCTGCTCCCAATACTGCTCTCTCCTCTCCCATTGATAGGGGAAAAAATTATTCTTTTCTTCCCCTACATTTTGACTTTGCACCTCTTCGTTGCATCCATTCCTTGGGGGTGGATGAGGACCTTGGCCCCAGGTCTAACTATTTTCCCCTCCTTCACCAACTTCTCTGAGGGGGTCGAGATGTTGTTACCCTCCTTGAAGGGAGTTA